GTTTGGCATGGCTGGATCTATCTGTGACCTATTTAAGCTTGAAGTGGGTATTTTAACTGCCTTGGGCAGCTTTGAGCTGTAGGATTGCTCAGCCTGAGACCTGCTGATGTTGAAGTTGTGACTGGAGTGGGTGCCACGAGCTTACATTTGCCTCGTGGAGATTTTGACTGTTCCTAACTCCATCATCTCCACTTATGGAATGAGGAAGAGTGGGATGGGTGAAAACAGCTTGCTTTAACAAAGTGCTTTTTATTTTTAGCTGGTAGTTGTATCGGTATCAGTGTGATTTCAATCTCAAAGGCTATCGGTTTGGCCAACAGCAGAGCGATAAATCTTGTGAAGCCCATTCATTCATCTGCACCGAAGTGGATTGCTTTTTATCTTGCTAAAATCTGCCATTGCCTCAGTCCCATTGTAGTTGGGTTGCTATCCTTATCGATGTGCTTTGGGATTTGGGAGCTGCTCCGAATGCAGAAGAGGGCGGCAGAAGGTATCAAACCTCCTCCGCGCCTTGTCGGAGCTGACAGCGGAGAAATGCTCGTGCTTTTGTGATTAGCTCGACTCCTGCATGAATACTCTTGGCTCTGTCCGTGGGTGGCTGGATCTCAATGGTATGACTAGTTGGAAAAAAAAAAAAGGGCTTACTTATATTAGACTCCGTTCCAGCACCGCCCGGGGAAAAAATGCGGGATTCTTACCTCAGAAGAGGGAAGGGGAGTAGTGGGAAGGTCTGTTTTCTCCCTGAGTCATCACGAAACACTGGCTAAACCCAGGCTGCTAAACCATCAGCTGTCTCGAAGCACGAGGAGTTTCTAGTAAAGGTGTATAAAAACGTGCTGGCTCCTGCTGCGTTTACTGAGATTTGGGATGGAAGGTGCTTTATACACCGCATAAAGTTCTCATATTGTGAGAGCGGGGCTTTTTCTTTTCACTGGCTACGTAGTTTCCTTTTACCTCGAAGTGGCGACATCGTTCACTTTGAATCGGCGTAGTTACAAAGAGGTTTATTTTAACCTGAATTCCCTGAATTAGGTGACTACTTGCGTTTTACAACTTCTTAAGTGTTCTTGGTATGATGACACTGAACCAGGTTTCATCAGTTCAGTGCCTCTCGACTCGTAATTATCTCAGTTAAGTCCCGCACAAAAGATCAGGGGCAAGTGTTTGAGCTGAGTTTGCTCATTACCATAAAAACAGGCGGGCTGCAAGTTACAACTCGATCCACTTACTCAACAGAGGCATTTTGTAGTAACTCCATTGTTTCTGTAACTGATAACATTTACCTTGGGAAAAGAAGGTGCCAACTATCCAAAGCTGATAGCTAAAAGAAACTCGGCAGTGAAAAAACTTTTGATCTTTTAATTATATTTGGAAGATGGGTGAGACTATTTTTTTTTCTTTTCTTTTCTTCAATTTCTACCCAGCATCTCTCCACATGAATTTTCATTTACAAATTTAAGCCCTACGTAGTGCAGTAAAATGAAAATGTTCCATTGGTCCATCAGCAACAACACATCTATTTTTTTGAAGGAAAAAAAACAATCTGTTGCTGCCTTGACTACCCTATCACCCCACCTGGAAACTACTTTGTGAGACACAGCACTGTTGGCTTGACATGTCAGCCCTTTTTCCCTGATGAAAGACTCATGTAAAATCATCATGTGATGCCTACTACCATGAGATGGAGCAAAGGAAAAAACACAGCAGAAGCTGCCTTTAAAGATAGGAAATAATACCCTCTGGTCAAATGACATAATCCTGGAATTAATGACCCATGCAGGAGAAGTTCATGCAGTGGCTGCATTTTAGTCTTGACAAATAGCATTGTATAAAAGCTCTGAACATTTTCCTGAGTAAATCTAGTCAGAACATAGTTTGTCTTGCCTAGATCTATTTGTTTGAATGCCTTTTAAAGGCCTCTTCAAGGCCACGCTGGATGGAGCTCTGAGCATCATGGCCTAGTGAAAGGTGTCCTACTTTATGGTATAGCTAAACTACTTTACTTAACTGTGGTTTGTTTCAGTGAGGGCTCACATTTAAGTGTTTTTATGTTTATTTTTCCCAGTGATTTCTTGTTTAAATCAAAGGGGATTTTTGACAAAGAGGCGTTTTCTGGATTCCCTCAGAAAATCAGTTTCTCTTCTGGACCTGAGGGAAAAGCTTATAATCTGTTTACACTGTTCTGGGAGAATTTTAAATGGGTCTCAGTAAATAAAGGTTACTTTTCTTCTTAAATGGAGAGTTAACATCAGATTTGGACTGTATTTAAAGTTTGCAATTTTTTTTATTGGAGACATCTGTCAATGTTCCAATGTCAATACTTTCTACCTGATCTATTTTTTTATGTCCTAATGCACGTTCCAGTGTTACAGCCAATTTCAAGGCCCTCTCCCTAAGACCCCCCCCCTTCCCCATTTGACTTTACAGAACCCAAAGAGGCTTTGAAAACAAGATAAAGTCAATATAAGGCATCTTAACCTTGGAGCACGTATTGGTTTGTTATGTGCTGACATTGGACAATTTGACTGAGATGTTGGCGAAATATTTTTTACGATAGTTGTGTGCTATAAATAAAAAAAACCCATTTAGCCAAATTGCCCAATGGAGCACATTTTACCAGGGGGTGTGGAGGGGCTTTGCAAGCATAAGAATTCCTAATTTGTTATTTAGGCATTCAGAAATTATGGTGCTGGCTTCTGAAGCCATGACACTTGGAACATAAAGTGCATTTGGCACATAATCAGCTTTGTGGTCGTGTTAATTTGCTTTTTGGTTTGGAGATTTTGGGTTTTTACATGCCAGCTTCTGACTGTAGCTCAAAGCCCAGAGGTTTTGAACATTATCCTCCATTTCCAGCTGAATCAGGGATCTTTCAGTGCTGTAGAAAAATATTTTTGTCCCCTAAAGGCTAAGGGAGAGACAGGTTGTTAAAGCTGCTGTCCTGGACACAGATCCTTCCCTGCAGCTCAGGAGTGCACAAGGAAAAGGCACAGAGGGGATGTTTTGGCAGCAGGTGCTGGTTAATCTGCTGGTTCCCCTCTTCTTCAGAGTAGTCAGCACAGACTATGGGCAGGGGGACACCAGTAACCAGTAGTCTTGTCTTTTTTCTTTAATTATAATTTTAATTTTTATTTTCATTTTTATTATTGCTTTGTGACGATGTGTTCAGCTGAAACTGGAAGGAACTAATTTCCTGAACATCTGTGATAAAATCACATTGCTGATAATGCCAAATGGCTGCTGCTGCAACGACCTTTCCTTTTACTTGCTGCCTTTAAATTTAAGTGGGCAGTTGGCTTCTTAGACACTTTTATGGTGCCTAGGACAGTGGCATTCTGCTTGACACATGGAACTGTTACACCAGCTTTCATTTTTGTCATAGATAACTGGTGTTGTATAAGTGTGCAACAGTAGGAAAAAGTATAAAACGTCCCTCTGTAATTATTCCCAAGTTTTAAATTGTTTAAAGCTTTGTTTGGCGAGTGAAACCGAGAGATCTTTTTGTATCCAAGAGGAGCTGGAGGAGGAGAGGGCAGAAGCCAAATGTATCTTTTCAGGGCTACGTAACCTCGGGTGTGGTTACAAGATGAATTAACCATTTTGAAGTCCCTGATGCTGCCAAAAAGGATATGGTTCCCAGTCCCTGGTTCTCCCCAGCAGGTTAGCACTGCTTCCCTCCCCAGGCAGGACTGGACTCTCCTCCAGCAGAATGTTTTCTTAGGAGGGTTGGAGGAATGGAAAAAAAAAAGGGTGATAAAACGCCAGGATTTGGGTTTGCTGAAGACAATTCCCTTTTTGGAAAGCATCTTGGTCTGCTTTTGGTTTCCTGTACCTTGAGAAGGTGACTTGCAAGTCTTCAAACCACATTTTGGTCTGTGCAAGGGTGAGAGTGTAGATGTTCAAGGTGCAGCAATCTGTGCAGATGTGCTAATCCATCAGACCCTCCGTGTCTTTAACACCAGTCCAATAAGAATGGAGGGAGGGCAACAGAAGGGAATGGGGTTTTTAATCACCTTTGATGAAATTAGAAAAAAACCCCACAATAGTTCTCTGGTTGCAACACCCTTGGCAGTGGTTTCTGCCTGGTTCTAACCTGAGAGCAAAAATAGTCCAGATATTTGCTTGTTTTGGCTGAGTCGGCGGATTAGAATCTCTTTTGTCTTTCTCATGGGATTTTCCTAAAGGAAGTAACACAATCTCTGGAGACAAAACATTCTTTACAAGGTGTAAAACCAGCAAGGAAATTTGGATTCAAGTGGTCACAGGTCTCTGATTCATCATGGGCTTGGGTCTGGGGATCCCCCTGGCAATCTGGGAGTGACTTATGGCTGTTGATCTCATCGGTTCCTGTAGCTTCAGGCTCTGGAAACCAGTGATTTAGGGGACTTTTAAGATATGTTTTTCAGAGTGTTGCAGTCATTTTCTCATCAGGCTGGCAAAGCTGCCATCAGTTTTCTGATGAAAGTACACAAGAAACACTGGATGATTGAAGTTGCTGTGCTCTGTGCACTGCAGTGACATCCAGAGTCGAGATGTTGTCACCAGAACAGGGGAAGAATCTCAGTCCCTGTTCCAGCCAAAGTCAGAGCTCACATGATTCCATGGGGGCAATATTTCTTCTAGAAGTGTTAGTCCTGACTGGGCTTTGGCACTGCTGGAGCAGTGCTGTCATCTGCTTGGAAGTCAGATGTTGTCTCAAGTATGAGGTATTCACTGTGTCGCTCTCAAACACACTTGAAACTTTCTGCTCTTGCAACAAACCAGCCTTGCACTAATGCTTCACATGTAAAAAGGGCTGCATTTGGCCCTAGATGTAAAAAAGAATGATAAATCCTTGATAAAACCTTTTTCCATCAAAGGGTGATATTCTCCAATGCTACTGCTTTCTGATTTTCACTGTATGTGTCAAAACCAATGACTTAGGGTTTGGTTGGGGGTTTTTTCCATTTTACTGTGTGGTTTCCTGTGAAATTATGTTTCTTTTTTATTTTTTTTTGTAGGTAACAGAGATTTCGCTCCCGATGATCCGCTGGAATTTAAGTCTCATCAGTGGTTTGGAGCCTCTGTGAGATCCCAAAATGATAAAATTCTGGTGGGTTTTCAGTGCCCTTTCAGTGCCTCAGTACAGAGATACTGTAGTGGAAAAAATGTGAAAAGATAACTTAGAATTTAAACAAAATCACACTAATCAGCATGACTTGTCTTTTTTTCAGGATTTCTTAGCTAGGCTTTGCTTAACTCTTTATAAACAAAGGCTGTAGCATTTTTTTGTCTTGTTTTAAGGAAAGTAGTAGAGTTAATTTGATGAAGTTAGAATGTGTTATAGATTCTTGATGACCTCTTTACAAAATATTATTTCTGAAATTCCTGATGTAAATTGTCTATTTACAAAGTACAAACTGGTGATACTGCTGCCCCAGTGCTGAAGGTATAAATCTCCTCTAATAACACATGATACATCTCTCAAATTTTATTTTTTTTTTGTTGCTGTTCCATAGAAAATTGGAATTTTATACCCCACTGCATCTGGAAAAGGAGTTTGTTTCCTCATTGCTCTGTGTTCTTCCCTAGGCCTGTGCCCCACTGTACCACTGGAGAACTGAAACAAAACAAGAGAGAGAGCCTGTAGGAACTTGTTACCTGCTTGCTGGGTCGAAATTCGTGGAATATGCTCCCTGCAGGTCAAGTAAGCCCAGAGCACCTGTTTCTTTTCTGTTTGGAATTCTTGTGTCATATTTCGTGTACACTTTAAAGTTTTAGAGTTATTGCCCCCTTCCACGTGTAGCAATTAGAACAAAACCTAAGCTAGACCCAGACACCTGAATCCTCCTTCAGTTGGTGTTCAAGGTGCTTTCTTCTAGGGGGAACATCCTAAATCCAAGTGTCATTGGGATTGAGGGCTTCTGATTTTGAAGGTGCCAGTTCTGTAGTAATCATTCAAGAAAAATTATGTAGCAAGTGCTTTTTCAGAGACCAACCCTTAAATTTTATGAAGCTCAAGTGTTATATTGTCACTCAAGTACTGTCAAGTGTAAGCTCATTTTAGAAGACAAGGTTTTGCACAAGTAGTTTCTGAACTGTGTGCACATACACAAATAGTGATGCATTGTTTTAATTATATTAACTGTTGAACATTTTGAGTCTTATTTTCTAAGTGCTTTGCATCCGTGTCTTCTAGTTGGGTTGGTAGATTATTCAGAGACTTAGAACCTTTCTTAAAATACAAAAGTCTAAAAGGATTGTTGAAGCTAGGATTGTCTTTTTATTTGCTGAAAGTCATTTTTTAACCGCAGGAATAAAATCCAGTGTGGTCCAACATAACAAGAAGTTAAATAAACATATATTAAACTAAATCATGCTAGTTCAGTAGTCACACTTTCAGATAATGGGTTCTCAACATTTCTACTCTAGAGCTGTATAATCCTAAAATTAACTCAGTCATAACAATCCTTGCTGGGATGAGTCTCAGTAGAGAGATATTTTTTTCAGCCAGGTATGCCTTTTTTGTTTTAAGCCAATTCAGATTTTTATTCCATACCAAAAGAAAAGCTTGTTCCCTGTTTTCCATTTCCTGAATATAAATTGCAAATATTTTCCCCCTAAATTTTGAAGATGAAATGGAAAAGGAATATGGAGTTGCTGTTCACTTTGACTGGGGCGGGCTAGAACACATGTTAGTGTTACAGGTAGCCAGACCTGAAGTTGTTACAGCATTTGGTTGTGAATTGTTGATAAAGACAAAATACTGATTTAGGAGTAAAGTATTCCAAAGTTCAAGTTCAGGAGAGAAAGTTTACTTAGGAAGAAAAGCATCCACAGAATCATCTGATCTAGTACTGATAATACTTATTTATTTTTCTCCTCTTTCTTTTCTATCCTTTTTTTTTTTTTTGTCAGCAACTATTGATGCAGATGGGCAGGGATTTTGTCAAGGTGGATTTAGTATTGACTTCACAAAGGTATGTGGTTCTTTCTCAGGTCCTGTGGGTCAGCAGACAAAACACCCCTGATGCAGAGCACTGACAAGCCCAGCTATTATGAAGCCAAATGTAAAAACCCCACAACCAAACAAAATCTGTAAATAGAACAAAAATAGCTTCAAACCACTCAAACAGCTGTTCTAAACCTGTTTCTGCCTGTGTTTTCACAGCAGCACACTTTCACCTCCTGTAGGAATCACATCCCGAGCAAATAATCTGCTTTTCCAGCTTCCTTCCATGCAGCTCTGCTGGAGCTGCAGTGGTCAGGATTTTTGAGACATGTGCTTTGGAGGGATTGGTGCACAGTAGTGTTACTTCTTCAGGAATAATAACTTAGGGAAGTTAAATAAACAATGTTCTTGTGGGTCATGTTTGTTTTTCTCATCAGCCAGCAGAAGTGCACTTAAGTTTCTTCTCCTTTCGTGTTCTCCCTGCCTTTTAGAGTTCTTTTTTATTGTTCTTAAATTCATGATTACTTCTTAAATCCAAGCACAACAAAACTGTGCACAGATCTGAGAACTTACTGTAGTTTTCATGTTGTACAGTGAAGTTGTTTAGCACAGTCTGGACATGTCAAGACCATGCAAGTCCATGTGATGTGACTATTTTTTGGGTAATTCACATCTTATGGTTAGGTCATGTCCCTTTGCTCTTTGCCCAAGATCACTCTTGTTTTTCCTCCAGAGGAAACTGCAAAATGCAGGATAGGACTGTAGGTGTTTGAATTATTTTACACACACCCCTCAGGGCTACTGTGCAAACTTCAGCCCCAGTTAAAACCAACCTCAGGCTCTAACCCCAAACCCTCACTGAGTGGGCAAGCCTGGCTCTGAGGTATCTCCAAATCTCTGACCTAGATTTTTCTGAGTGGTGAATATGAGACTTTTTAGGATTAAAATCTGAATAAGTGCTTTAATTATTCAGCAAAGCCTGTGGCCTAATCCAATACTTACAGAGCAAGTTCCCAACACTGGGATAGCTAATGTGGTTAAGTTTCATAAAATGGTTTGTGGATTGCAGTTGGGCCAAGGAATATGGAATGGGGGAATTAGGTCACAGTTATTCTGAGTTAAACTTTTCTAATCATAAGTTAAGAAAAGTGGCAGAGGCAGAAGATGAAACTAGTTTGGGGTGCTGACCTAAAAACATGTTATGGTTGTCATGTAGCAGTCCTAAATTTTTCTCCTAACTGTATTCCTGTTGCCTTAGATTTATGTAGTAAGAGGGGTCTCTCATGACAAAAGCATAATTCTGCCTAGAATTTTAAATGGATGAAACAGAGCCACAAGTCACTGAAGGCAGATAGTTTGTTATCTTAACAGTTTGCAAGATGCATTTGTAATTAATCACTCCTTCAAAAAATAAAATGTACGGGGGTTCAGTGAAGCTACAGTGATGTAGATGCATGGGATTACTTCCCATAAACATAGGACATGTTCTTTTGATTTTAGATGTGCTTAATGTGTTTCTAATTTTTGTTTTCTGTCTTTTTGTTTTTTCTCCCCTTCCCTTCCAAGGGAGACAGGGTGCTGCTTGGAGGACCTGGAAGTTTTTACTGGCAAGGTGAGATATATTATTTGAATCATGGAGAAGCTGATCTCTGATTTTTCTTTTTGTTCTCTTAGTCATTTTTATCCACACTCTTCCAATCACTATCAGGGTCTTTACCAGTAAGAAAACTAACAGAAATATGTTCCTTCATCCTTCAGAATATCTCCTGAATAATCAGGGCAACCACAGATTAAATCTGAACTAATAATTGTGTAGATGTCCTTTGTCTTTTAAGGAACTCCATGATAATTTTAAAGGCATTTTCCCAGGAAGGTAGGATTTGTTTCCATCAGCAGGATGAGTTTGCTTTAGGACATTTTGCTTCAAAACCTACACGCTTTGTAATTTCTGACATACACATACAAAGTGTGCATTTTCAAGGGGAAATGTCTCCTGCAAAGAGAACTGCATTATTTTCAAGGGGAAATGTCTCCTGCAAAGAGAACTGCATTATTTTCAAGGGGAAATGTCCCCTACAAAAGAACTGCATTATTTTCCTCTGACAGCAGAGATGTTTTGTGTTGGTATCAGTTGGTTTGTGCCACGGGGCACGTTCTGCCTTTCCCTGCACTTCTTGCACAGAGCATTACCTGTACACTTTCCAAATATGGACTTGGTCAGTATTTGCAGGATAATTCAGCCTTTAGCTACAGCTCTCCACTCCAAAGAGGGAGCAGCTGCAATCAGGACACGGCTGCCACACTCTGCTGCCTGCTTTTAATGTAAATACCAACGTTTATTAATAGACTTGCTGTATCAAGCCAGCCTACACGTAGATGCAGCAGCACAGGAGGCTTGTTCCAGTCCTGTGCTTTAAATTCTGAACAGAATGGAATGATTGAAGCTAAAACAGCAGCTACAATATAGATTATGACCCTGTATTCATTTTTGGCTGAAGTACCACCTCATCTGCCAAAACAACCTTATTCTCTCATACTGCTTCCAGAAAAGAACAATCTTGGCTCTGAATAGAAGACAATACTGTACTCCTAAAAACTAGATTTTTCATCCTAAACTTTTATTCCATGTTCTGAGGTGCTGGAGGACTAGTTTTCCCTACACTTCATTATATGTTCGAATATATATGTGAAGTGAGTGTTATTCTGAGAATTTTTTTGTGATGATTCAAGTTTTATTTTAAACTCAGAGTAAAGAACGTAGTGCAGTCACCACCTAGTGGCTAGTGAAGTGAGAATGGAGGATGTGGGAATGCACTGTGCTCTCCTCATTTGTGGTCATCTTCTCGACCTCCTGTCTGCCAAAATAAGCTCTTGTGTTCTGGGGTTTGGGAGCAATGACTCAGTTCTGTGATGCCATCAGCACATGATAACTGAGCATTCCCATTTAAGTCCTGCCTTATATGTAGGAGTAGCTTCTATTTTCAGTGAGAGCTTTTCTTTGTCAATGTGTGCATACATTTTTTTGAGGTGGGATGCAAAGTTCCTCTTATACCCCTCCTGGTGCTGCTGCAGTATTGTGGAAGAGTCGTTGCTTTAGCAGGCAGCATCCTGTAAATGAGTCCTGTAACTTTACTGGCTGAGGTCACACCTTCTGTTTGTGGTTTTAAGCTGTTTTCTCTCTCTTTAGGCCAGCTTATTTCTGATCGAGTGACGGAGATCGTGGCTAAATACGACTCCAAGGTCTACAGCACCAAGTATGATGACCAGCTGGCAACCAGACCTGCCAGTGCTGCCTTTGATGACAGCTACTTGGGTGGGTAGTGGGAAACAGGAACACTCAGGTGTACCTGGAAAACTCCCTGGCACTGTTCATATTTCAGTTTAAATCGCAGCACCATTAACTCAGCATTGGACAGAAAACTAAAGAGCAACATACCTGAAAATGCAGTAATTTATGTATGATGGAACCTTAGTTGTCTTGCCACAGGCTTGACTGAAAAAGCACCTGATGACAAAATAAATGGAAATATTTCCATGATTTTTCATGCTCTGTGATTCAGGCTGAACACGGGAATGGCCAAGGTGTGATTTTTATGTGAGAAGTTAGTTACATACCTGTTTTTTTGAAAAGCAGCTACTTCTAAATAATCTACCAAAACAAAATAAAAATGGAAAATAATTACGTTGGGGAAGAAAAACCATGAAGAGGGTCTCATAGAGGGGTGGGCCATCATAATTTAGCTTCATAGATGTGTAACCAGGTTCAGAAAAAAACAAGGAATAGACCAGGGCAATTCCCAGGATGATAATTTTAAAATTTTCATGTTCTGATCTCAAATTCCTGGAACTGTTCATAGTCTAAGCTGCTTTGAGACAATATTTATTCCATTGCATTTTAAGAAGGAGAAGAAGGGAGGACTGTGCACAGAGACCTGTGAAGAGTATAAAGAGAGATGAAAGGTTTGATGAGGTTTTTAAAGTCTCCTCTTATCTGTCCAGGTTACTCGGTGGCTGTTGGAGACTTCAATGGTGATGGCATAGAAGGTAAGAGCACTTGCTTTGCTTAAAATCATATTAATAGGCTGGGCAGATCTTTCAAATAAATGATACAATGCACAGGAAAATGCATCAGGCACTAGGAATGAGCTGCTCTGTGCTTTGGGACCTGAATGTTACCTGTGTCCTGCTTTATGTTCCAGACTTTGTATCAGGAGTCCCAAGAGCAGCGAGAACTCTGGGAATGGTAGGAAATTTGAAACATTCAACTTTAAAATAAGTGCAAAAGGTGAATATTGCTGGTGTGCTCTAATGTGTGTTCCTTCATGTGCAGGTGTCCATTTACAATGGGAAGAACATGTCTTCCATGTACAACTTCACTGGAGAGCAGGTGTGTAGCTTGACTGAGTGTAGTGGGTGACCTGGAGCCTGTTCCTATGTTGAGACAGTATTTAGGGGACTAGATAATAGGATACTCTCTGTTATTGGCTTAATTGCCAAAGCAAAATTTTATATAATCTGTAGGAATTCCAACCTTATTTTTAAATAAAAGAAATGCTGCCTATTTTTAGAGTTGGGAGAGAGGACTGGATCATGAAAGGGGAGAATGGGGAAGGGAACTGATCTGTTTACTTTCTGAGTAAGAAACAGAAAGGAAAATACAAGGAGAAAGGAAACCAAAAAAATGTTGTGGTGTATATTATCATCTCCCCGAGGTATTTTCTATACAAATTTGTGTAAACCTGTGTTTGTATCACTTGCAACTCACAAGTTTGGTTTCAATTTTGTTTTTCAGATGGCCGCCTATTTTGGGTATTCGGTGGCTGCCACAGACATCGATGGGGACAAGTAAGTGCCCTCCTCTCACCACTGCCACCCAAATGGTTTCTGGAAAGAAAAAGAAAAAAGATGCTTTTATTAAAAAGTCTTTTCCACAATCTAGATTTCTGTCTTCATTACTGGTTTAGCACGAATCTGCACAACACTCTTACTAATGCTCAGTGTTTGTTTTAACAATTGCAGGTTTATATCAACACACGTGCATTCACATACTTGAAATGCATTAAATTCTGATATATTTGTGCTTACTCTGTCAATAAATATTTGCCTTCAGTGGAAATTTAAAGACAGTTAATTTGGATCTTAGTATTGACTTCAGTGCTGAGTTAATCAGATGCTTAAAAAAATGAGTTTTTCTGCTGCCACTGAAGAACCTTGTCCTTCTTTGGCCCAGTTTTACAGATCTGTTTATTGGAGCCCCCCTTTTTATGGATCGAGGCTCAGATGGGAAGCTTCAGGAGGTCGGCCAAGTGTCCATTTGCCTCCAGAGACCCTCTGGAGGGTTCCAGACCTCGAAGCTGAACGGCTTCGAGATCTTCGCGCGGTTCGGCAGCTCCATCGCCCCTCTGGGGGACCTGGACCAGGACGGCTTCAACGGTAGGACATCCCTGATTGCTCAGGGCTTCCCCTGGGTAGGGGGCTCAGAGCCAGCACCCTCCCTGGCTGTGGGTTCTGCACACAAACACTCAGCATTTGTGACACTGAGGTCCAGACTCCTTTCGATGCTTGTGTGCCGCTCCCAGGAATGCCAGCAGGAGTTCCATGGGTGCATCGAGCAGAGACTATGCCACTGCAGCTGCAGCATGGATGACTTGAGCTGGCACACTGGGCAGCTCATTGCTTTCTGAGTGACAACTACAACAGAAACTTTGATGAAATACTCAGCTCTCCCCTTTTTGACTTGTTAGGACATCTGCAGTAGAATTTTCCCGCTTCCGTTGCTGAAAGCTGACTTTATGCTCCAGGAACACAATGGTGACTGAAAGGAAGGTTTTGTTTCAGAGAGCTGGTTAAAAATGTTCCGATAAAAGTGATTTTCCTGGGACAAGTCCGTTTCAAAATGGAAAGGTTTGGTGAAAATATTTCATTTCTGTCCCAAGAGCTGAGTGTCTCGAGCAAGTAATTGGATGAGAAGTCTGAGGCTGACACAACTAAAGCTGAGGACTCTCAAACTCATTGCCTGTACTTCTTGTTACTTTAGGAACTTGCTACTTTCACTTAGGAATTCAGAGCAGTGAAACAGGCAAGAATCATGTAGTTTTGGGATGGAGACTTCCAGGAGTCCCAGGGAGAACACCTTGTTACACACATCATACTCCAGTGTTGCCTTAAGAGTTGTAGGAATTTGAGTTTCACCAAAAATGCTCATTCTTTTCATTCTGCTTGCAAGATAAGTATTTTCTGAAAGATCAAAAATTACAATAGGCCGATATTTCAAATCCTCAGGTGGCTCTTAATTTATTTTCTATGAAATCATAATGTCATAGAATAGTTTGAGTTGGAAGGGACCTTTTTACTTGCTAATAATATGCAGAATCGGTGTGAAGATGTGATATCACTGCAACTATTTACAGAAGACATTGGAAAGGTTACAGCTGATAACCAAAACTCTAGTGCCCTGATGAAGTTATCCCAAAAATGTTTCCATCATACTTCAATCTGAAATAAACTGTGGGCTAGAAAATCATAGCAAAAGCTGCCTCTTTTTAATTACTTTGCTGTTATTTAGTCTGTTTGTTTTGTTTATTGCTCTGCCTCACTTTGGGAGTGTTAATTAAAATACTTTCCATCACAGTATGGTGCAAGATTGGAATTTTTACTGGTGTCATAAAGTTTGTAAATATAAGTCAAAAATACAAAACAGTAAATTTTGAGTCCTTACTCTCTTCATCAGACTTTCTAAAATTTAAGAAAAGAGGAAGGAAAAATGAAATTACTCTGTTTAGTGTTTCATATTTGGTCTTTGACTTTTGTTTGTTGAATGTACATCATATTTGCACTTCTAAAGCTGTCCTTACAGTCTAATTAACGTTTTGTTTATTACTGTTTATTAGTCATGGAAAATGAGTACTCTTAAATTTATTAAGCTTTAACAGATAGAATAATTGCACTAACTGGGAGTTCTCCATAAAACATATTGCCAAGCCATGATCAGGATAGACTGGAATTTCATATTTACCATTGGTTTAGGATGATTTAAATTTTCCAGAATTATTAAAGTGTCACACCCTCTGGAGGAACATGAGCGTGTTAACGAAATGGGAAGATAGCCCCACTTAGTTTTGTGGTTTGGCACCAACAATTACTCATTCTGGTTGTTTTAGTAATCTCACAAACATCTCAAATCCATAAGATTTGGCTGCAAGTCAGTTATTGAGGTGCAGAACTATTTCTTTCTCTCCTTCCCCTCCCTTCAAGTCTTGTTAAACATTTATACTTTCTAGAAAAAAACAGCATCCAGTTAAAAAAATAAACAAACATGGGTTGTTGATGAGGGTTTTAAAGGCTGGTTGCATTTCCTCCCTCCTGACACACCTTGAAACTGTAAAGTCAGAAAGGATTGACTGATGTGAGCAGAAATATATTCCCCTACTCTGGGCCTGGAGACGCTGATGGTTCTTCTCTTGGTTTGCAGATATTGCAGTGGCTGCACCGTATGGTGGAGAGGACAAGAGGGGACTTGTCTACATCTACAATGGAAGAGCAAGTGGTTTGAATGCAGTGCCATCCCAAATTCTGGAAGGGCAGTGGGCAGCTCGCACGATGCCACCCAGCTTTGGGTACTCGCTGAAAGGAGCCACGGACGTGGACAAAAATGGATATCCAGGTGCTTTGCTCCCAAATGCCTTGCAAATCACTCGACCCAAAGAGCAGACCCGCCTCTGACAAACAGCATACTATAAAAAAATAAATGGTGATGTGTAATAATGTGTCTCCTTTCTTCCTAGACTTGATTGTTGGAGCCTTTGGTGTCGACACAGCTGTTCTGTACAGGTGAGGATCCCACCGTGCCTCTACCCAAGTGCAAGCAGAGGCAAAGCTCAGGGGGGTTCTTGAGCTAAAAAAGAAGGCAGGCTCAGTGTGAAATTCTGCTGCCCCACTCCATGCCAAAGCGCTGGAGGTGAAAAAAAGGTTATACTGCTGTTTTCACTGAGTATACCTACAGTCTGCTCTCTAGAATTCATCATTACCAATGTAGTCAAGAGGAAATATAAATGAGCTGCTTCGAGGCTTTCTGAGTGACAGTTCCCTAGATTCTGACACATACAGGGTGCTGCTAATTATTACACTGAAATCCCAATGTTCTCATCCAGACTTGCTCATTTTGGGACATTTTTGTTAGTGCTAGAAAGAGATAGGACTTCCTCTTTACACAGTTGTCCATGTTCTGACTGATGGGAATGAAAGGGCAGAGAAAAGCTTCCCACTTCTCCCTCCTCTGCTCAGTGATTATTTGTTTTTCTTGCGGTTTCACTAAATATTGTGTGTTTGTATATATTTCACAATTCGATGGGGAGGGTATTGTCTAATGTGGTGTTGAATGCTCTTCCAAGAGGATGTTTTCTTTGCAGGGCTAGACCAGTTATTAGAGTAAATGCTGCTCTGGAAGTCAATCCAACCATTCTAAACCCAGAAAACAAAGCCTGTTCACTGGGAGATGTAAAAGTTTCTTGGTAAGCAGGGTGTCTATGTTTTCCTTTGAGGGGAGGGACTTTGTTGGGTTTTATTTTTGTAAGCTTCCAGTTTTAAAGGATTCAGCAAGTCCAGTCAGCTAATAAGGAAAAAGACAGACACGGATTTTTTTTCTGAAAGAACAGACAATATGAAATAAGACCTTTGAACAGAAATAAACAGCGAAGAATTTTAGAAGAAAACAGGAGAAAAAGTGTGTGAAATAAGTATTTTCTATTCTTCCAAAACAGCTTCAAAGTCAAGTTCTGCTTAAAGGCGGATGGCAAAGGAAAGCTCCCCAACTCCCTCAGTAAGTTCTGCTTGTTTCAAAACTTTAAAGCCTTTGTGTACTGTTAGCAGACATGAGCACAGGTCGCTGTTATTTTCATTATTGAAACAATTGGCTGCCCTTTCCAGCACACTCCTACCCCTTGGTAGGAGTACATCTATGTGCCTGTCTTCAGCAGGGTTTTTTGCCTGTGGTTGTGTAGAAGTTGGTGGCATCTGGTCATACTTTAAGCATATGTTCAACCATGTGGTTAACTAGTGTTGGAAAGCCCTTTGTATTTTACAGATTGTAGAGTAACTCTCACTGAGGGGAGTTTTAGACAAGAATATTCAGGTATTGTTAGGCCTGGGAGATACAGACAAACCACAGGGGACTTCTCCCATCTCTGTTGAAATCATAACCTTCAGATTGATTTCACTGACTTGTTCTCATCAGATTGTCTGGATCAGAATCAGGAAAAGATTGTTTCCAACAGGTTTTTTTTAGTGGTCTCCATGAGATTTTGTAGAGTGGCAGGCAGCCTGCTGCAATCAGGTTTTGTCTACTGATTCTAAAAGCTTTTTCTTGTTTTCTGTATGGCATGTATAGAGGTACTGTGATCTGAGAAAGCTCATATTTTGAATTTCATTATCTGTATCAAATATTTGAAGTAATTAGATTAGCAGTAGAGTTTAAATATATAATTGCTATATGCTTTAAAGATTTCTGGGGGGGAAAGATTTGACTTTTGTTCTTGCAGTTCTATAGCAGTTATAAATTCTAAATGTGTCAGTGCTCTTCCATGTTTTTAGATTTTAAGGAAAAAGCAGAGGACAGCAACAGTGCTTGAGAACTAATGTAGTAACAGATTTTACACTGGAAGAACTTGAAGTTTTAAAAGTGGCAAGTACTGGGTTGTCATTGTAGCTGAAATCAGTGTTCAGCTCCATTCCTGATGGGAATCTGCACTGTGTTTAATGGAATGAAACATGCCTAACCCAAATGCTTTGCCTTGCACAGATTTCCAAGTGGAACTGCTGTTGGATAAACTTAAACAGAAAGGAGCTATAAGGAGAGCTCTCTTTCTCCACAGCAAACAGCCCAGCCACTCCAAAAACATGACTATTACAAAGGGGGGCAAAATGAACTGTGAAGAACTCGATGCCTTCTTGAGGGTAAGTAGCCATTTGTGGTTTTTTTAGGCAAATAGTTTTTGATGCCCTGTCTATTACAAGTTCCTTGTGTCAGTTGTTAAAAAAAAAAAAAAAAGCTGGAGAAACTTGATATTACTGGGACTGAGGTCCTGGTCCCTAAATGGATTGGAATTTTAATTCAGAATTATGTTAGCAAACTTCTTGAATGAATCATCTAGGCACCAAATTAATTGTGATTTCCAAGGAATATGAAACTCAATAACCAAAGGTTGTCCATCTACTTTGGAGGTAAAAAAATAAAGAAAAATATGGATCTGCAACTAAAAAGCCAAGACCAGCAAATAACAGAGGAGACAGAGAAAGTTAAAATATTAAGCTTGCTTTTTCTCAGTCTTTCTGTTTTAGTCCCCACAAATGTGCACAGATACTAACACAATTAAAAAGTGTAATCCAATAGAAGAAACACTGTGTGTAGCTATGTAAGTTATATGCAGCTGAGATTTATCTCTGAGTCCCTGTAAATCAAACATAAACATTACATACTTTCCTCTCAAAAAAGCCCTAGTAACCCAATAAAAATACTAGTAATCATTAAGGATTCATGGAGGATAGGTAAAACCTTTCTTTCACCTGCCTTGTGTGTGGGATGGACACAGAATTAGACCTCTCAGATCTCAGTGTCAGTAAAGCTTTAACACTTTTCCACCTGAAATTTTCATAAAGAAAGATACATGACCTCCATGAAATTACCTTAAATGGGATGCAAAACCAGTTGAAGACTATATGTAATCAATGGGTTTCTGCCCACAGAAGATGTGTAAGATCCTGAAATGAGCTGTTCCACAGTCAGTAATTTCCACTGGTCTCAGAAACGAAGCAGAGTTTACACTGATCTAACATAAAGCTAAGAGCTGGTTTGTAACTAATCTGAAAGGCAGGATCAACATTTGACAAACAGGAAGATTTGAAATTATCAAGATGAAAGTCAGCAGCTCCAGAGCACAAAGCAATGATTTTAGGATAGGAAAAAAAAAATCCTAAGTCCAAAGGTGAGGATCTTGGAAGCCAATGGAATTTTGCCTGACAGGAAAGTGTGGAATTGTTGTAGCCCTTGGTTTCCTTGCTATTAGAGTTCTGTGACTGAATATTCCTGTATGCTCCAGTTTTCCATTTGTTAAACAGGAATGTTGCTGCAGGTTTCCTGACAGGAGATTTTTCTAGTTTGGAAAGAGCTCAGAAGTTTTCATGTTGTTTTGGCCTCCTCGTTCCTACTACGTTTTAACTGTTCTGTTTAATTGCTTTTCCTCAGGATGAATCTGAATTTAGAGACAAGCTAACTCCCATCACTATCTTCATGGAATATCGTCTGGATTACAGAACAGCTGCAGATGCAACAGGATTGCACCCTATCCTCAACCAGTTCACCCCTGCTAATATGAGCAGACAGGTATATACTGCTCACACAGCCTGTGGTGACAGAACTTGGCCTTCAAAACTCATGTTTACCTTAGGACTTCTGAAAAATTAAGATACCTAAATATACAGCTAGGCTTTGGTCTTTGAATTACGGAAATATTGATGGTTATTGTAAATTTGGTCTGCTCTCTTTGATTTTTTTGTTGTTGTTGTTTTTTTCATCTCTCTCTGTATCAAATTTCTTTTAGCACTGGACTTTCTTTTCACACATCCTATTTAACAGTTTCCTGGAGAAAAGCAGTTAGAGTAGTACTGAAAGTGTTAATCTTGAAGGCTTGGAGTGTTTCATCCATTGCTCACACTGTGCTGCTCTATGTACATTATGTTTATCCCTCTAGTTCTCTTAAGGCAATGAACGTAGTTTTTTCTACTTCTGCCCTTTAGACAAATTTTTTTCACTTGATTGTAAAGAGGATAGTGGAGGAGCAACTCCAATATGAACAGATTATTCAAAGTATGGAAAGATGGTTAAGGTGTAGACACTAGTCCTAGAATTGCAGTGGGGCAGGATGAGGCACAGTGCCTCTATGTACTCATTTGTTCTCTTCTGAGACTAATGACATGGAAATATCTCCTAACCAGCTATTCAGAATTTTTTTTCTCGTGGTGGTGAAACAATATTATTGGAAATGTATGTTGGAACAGATGCAGGAATTACTACAACAATATGCCTTTGATTTCTGCATAGGCACACATTCTGCTGGACTGTGGGGATGATAATATCTGCAAACCAAAGCTGGAGGTGTCAGTAGAAAGGTAAATACATGACAAAAATACTACAAGGAAAAGGAATTTCCCTGCTTGAATTCTAAAACTCAAGACCTTGTAATACTTTTGTTTGAAGGATGTGTTGAAATAAGGAGGACTCCTCAATGTGTTCTATCTAAACTCATGCTTATATATTTTAAAGAAAACCCATTTTCTGCTTTGCAACCTAAAATCTTTAGCGTGTAATGCTGGGAGAGCACACTCCCCACTCCCACCTGACCTCCACTCTAATGTTTATTTGTCCATTTGCTAAGCAGGACATGCATAGCAAGAATGACCCAGTGTTGGCTGCCATTGTACCACTGTTCTGTTGTTTAATACCAGATAAAATCACAAATTCATGTGTCTATCCAGGAAAGGGAGAGCAAGGCTCTCTAGTCAGATGTATAAAAAAAACCCCAGTCACTGGTATTGCTAATATCTTTTCTCAAACCTGGAAAAAGAAACAAGTTTTAAGTGATAATTCATGAATCTGAGCATTCTGTGCTTTGCATGCCCTAAAGCAACTCTTAGTGTCTTATCTCTACTCATAACCTGTTTTTTTATGCCCTTAGTGCAGTGCTATAGCATGTGCACATGTAGGATACTTCCCCAACACATTCACTCATGCAGACACTTCAGAAACATTGTATGTACATCAGTGCAGGTACAGTCGGCTTTCCTTGTAGCTGGTGAAATGAAAATACATTGTTTGGACAGACAGTCTCTTTGTATCTGGAACAAACCCACTGCAGAGGTCTTGACTGTATTCTGCAGTTGAGTTTTGTTATAAATATGTGCTTGTACCTCTTCAAAGTGGGCATGTAATTCCAAACATGCACAGGGATTTAGCTGCCCACAGTTGTCTGTTCCTCCTTACAGAAAGGTGTTGGTGCTTTGCTGTAATTGGTAATTTTGTAGAAAGGATTCTTACAAAACAGCATGTGATATTTGCTCCATTTTTGTGATTGTAGATATGGGATTTTTTTTTTTAAACAATGTAGAGCTTTCCTGATGCTCCTGGAGCATAGGTACTGCCTCGAGATTTCTCTGATTTCCTGGTGCGATTTCAGAACGTCTCTTGTTTCTGTAGGCTCAGCTACTTCAGTAGCCTTTAAAATGTGAACTGTTTTTATAGTGACCAGAAGCAGATCTACATTGGTGATGACAACCCCTTGACCCTCATTGTCAGTGCTCAGAACCAAGGGGAAGGAGCCTACGAAGCAGAGCTCTTTGTCGTTGTCCCACCCCAAGCGGATTTCATCGGAGTTGTTCGTAACAACGAGGTACAATTCCAACTGGCTTCTTGGGATCATCCTGTTTCATCTGCCACAAGTCTTGGTCTGAACAGTGCCCTTGTTCATTTAATTTAATTTAGACTTAGCCTGTCATGTGCTGGGTAAAGAGCTGGGCAGCTGTGAGGCAAGAAGTGATGTTGGGTATCACTGTCCTCCTTCCACCTAAGTGTGTGGAAAGTTGTGGGTTATCCTGACTACACAGAATATTAAAATCTTCTTCCTGGCTTTTCTTATCTCTTGGGCCATGCTTTGGTTCGGTTCTCCAGTTTATCTCTATTACTCATGTTATTTTGCCTTCCAGTCTTTGGATTGGAGATTCAGTTGCCTTCCCATCTTTATTTTCCTACTGAGAGTTTGCCCAACTGCCAAAGTTCTTCACACAGGTTATAAAGAATCATGTGGAGAAATGCTTTATGTCAGAGAAATCACAATTGCTAACCAATATAACAGTATTGGAATTTCTCTTTTTATAACCTTGGAAAGAGATCTATCTTGTGTCAAGACCATTTGACTTAAGGGAAGCTTTCACACTCAGATTTTATTTGACTTTAGTGCTTGACTGACTTAGGGCTGAGAAGTTACATTTAAATTAATGCAGAATATCTAAAACTTCTCTCCAGATTTCATCCAGGTGTCCAGGTGTGAAAAATCATATTCTTTAACATTTCTTTCTGGTTTCTTGCAGGCTTTAGCCAGACTGTCCTGTGCATTTAAAACAGAGAACGAGACTCGCCTGGTGGTTTGTGACCTGGGAAATCCCATGAAAGCAGGAACTAAGGTGAGGGTTGGTCCCACAGGTGCCTGGTGGCTCAAACAGGAGGGCAGGTGGCATTTCTCTTAATCACAGTATTGTTTGGGCAGGATGTTTACTCACAGGAAATTAAGATTTGATCTAGCTGGCCTTTAGCTGCCCACATGTTTGGTTAATACAGTGGTAGCTGGTTTCAACTTTCCAGATAAATTAAAGGCTGAAAGGAGTGGTCATGAGTTTTATGATGCAACTCAAAATAAGTAGTTCATTAAATACTGGAATTAATGAATTCTGGTCCCTCATGAGTTTGTCTTTATCTGATATGTATTTATCAGTATATAATAAAGAGTTAGCTCATGGCACACCTTTCTCCTAGTTCGTCTCTCTTCTGCTTAATTTTGTGAAGACTGAGAGGGAGTTTTGTCTGGTTGAGGCCTCTACAATTCCACCAAATGTAGCTGATATTGGAAGAATTAAAAAACTATCAGTGGGACCTGACAAATTTTATGATGATATGATGCAATAAGTCACGATTATAAACACTTTGATGATACTTTTCTTCCAAGGGAGGTTTGTATAGATGAATATAGATGAACCATTTCCAAAGTTTTTTGAAGTATATCAAGCTGAAGGGTACAGATGTTAAAGCAATTATCAACCACTGACTTAGTACAAACCTTGGGAATGAATTTGGAATCATTTAAGTGTGTCCTGTTCTTTAAACTGCAGTGGTTTTTGCAACACACAGGGAGGCTCAGCTATGTGTAGAAATGGCTGAAGCAAGGGCAAGGAGCATGATGTAACCCTTACTTTTCTGTTTTATGGCAGTGATGCCTTGGCTTTGATCTGCAGAAAGGGAGGTGCATGTCCAGCCTTGAGGAACTGAGCGGGTTTTATTTGCCAGTTCTACGTGTGCTCTCTCATGGCCTCAAGCCTCAAGCATCATATTAATAATATTATTTATTGTTGTAATATTAAGAGCATCAAGAAGCTGTTTATTGTGTGTTTTGTGGTGCTTCCACTGACCCCTGGTGATGTTTTTCTCCAGCTGTTGGCTGGCCTGCGTTTCAGTGTGCACCAGCAGTCCGAGATGGACACCTCTGTGAAGTTTGACTTGCAAATCCGAAGGTATGGAAATCTCTGTGTACCTCACCTGCTGGAAAACATGCACAGTAAATAGACTGTGAACTACTCAGGTTCACTCTGGACTAATCCCCTGGTCTTTGCCTCATATTTGTTTGAAAAATAACCACAGAACTCGTTTGTACCCACATACCATTGTGCTGCCTTGGCACTCCTGCAGTGCCACAGAATGACTTTGGGTTTACAGCCTTCTTTTAAAACTGGGGTTTGAACTCTGAATTCCTTCTGATGTCAAGCCAGAATTTCACATTTTATAGATTTTGAGGGTGAGAGTCTCTCAGAAGTGGCAGTGCAGAAGCAGCATGCAGTGAACCATCACAGCAGACAGCATGGAAGAGTCTGACCATTAAATGGAGCAAAAGAGTTGTGTTTGTGTTAATCATCAGAGAAGCACAGCACTGTCATATTTATATGATATTTATAAACCTGAATTTATTCCTTCTGGAGATGATGTTTAAGATTTGGAGGTATGATCATTAGGAGTATCTTTACCTAACACAGTTTTATGTTGCTTAGTGGACAGCACAAATTCAGCTGTTTTGTTTTTTCCCCACGTTGAACCAAAAGCTTTTCTATTTTTTTTTCCTTTTTAGGGCTTCATTTTTTTTTTATACTGTAGTGACTAAATTATTCTCATCCACAGATGCATTTTTCACCTACGAGAGTTAAATAGATTTAAACCTGCCATTCTGTTTTAATGGTATAAATAGATCAAAGGCCTTGGCAGCTGTCTTTAAACTCACAAAGCTCCATTTCCAAGGCTGGCACAGTTCCTAGCAGAGCAACTCGAGTCTCTCTGAAAGAGTGAGGTAATCACAGGTCAGGAGGAAAGCCCTGTTGCATGTATGTTTTAATTACAGCAGGAGCAAAGAATAATTAGGGGATTTAAGAAGGCCTTTCTAAAGGCAATTGTTTGATTAGGTAGACAGAATAATCAGATGTGTCATTTAGGTGAGCACTTACTTGACTCTGCTCCTTAGTTTTTAGCAGTTGTGCTCACAAGTCGTGTTATGATGTTACACAGAATTATTTTAACATGTGGGTTTTTTTTTTATTAAATACTTGGTTTATTTAATAAATTACCTTTTATTTTCTCTGCAGTTCCAACCTTTATGACAATCTAAGCCCAGTAGCATTCTATCAGGCTGACCTTGCCATTTTAGCAGCTGTTGAAATTAGAGGGTAAGCACTGATACTATTTTAATAAACATTATTAATGAGATTTGCATATTTTCTTCTTTATATTCACTGAACTTTCAGGTCTGAATAAATTTTCAGGAAGTCTTAGGGAATTTTTGATCATAAAGAAAACATGGTTCTCTCTAGCCACCCTTCGGATTTTCAGATCTTAAATAATTCTAAATAATTAAAAAATCAATTCCAAAAAAGGAATGTTGTGCCTCCATTACTAGACATTTTTTTTGAAGAAAAAAACCACTCCAAGCATGTTGATTTTTTTAGTTTTTTTAGATACTCTAGAGAGTAATGTTTATGGTTTCATACCTGATAATAACAACTCCTTTGCTCCCCTTTTTAGTGTGTCATCTCCTGATCACATATTCCTTCCCATTGCAAACTGGCAGCCGAAGGAGAACCCTGAAACAGAAGAGGATATTGGGCCCCTAGTTCAGCATATTTATGAGGTATGGAATTACTGCTAATTTCAATGACACGGTGCTGTGATAAATTAAATCTTCTGCTGTAGTTTTTCTCTGTAGTAAATTATGATTTTTTTTCTTGCATGGAAGGAAAGATGTTATTTTTTTTTTAATGCTGGGTCAATAACTGCTGTCTGCAAGAAGGGGTGGAACAAACAGAAGGGGCTGGTTACTTACATAATTACACATATTTTACTTTCTCAGCTTTTAGGTAAAACATCTGAAGTAACTTTTTCTGCTCAGGAAATGGCTCATGGCTGTAAATTATTCAGTTATCCTCAGTTGTACTGCAGTTGTTCTAAATCATTCTTGTGAAGTCTTTTTGCCTTGAAAGAATTCAAGTATTTAAAATTTCCACACAAGAACGATCACAGCTTTAATCTAGATTGTTTAATTAAACAAAACTTATTGAGAGCTGTGTGAACAGTAATAGCTAAAAGTTGTCCTAGAACTTGAGAGACCATTTATCTGATGAAACTTGCTGCTGTATGTGTCTGTGCTCAGAGTATCTTGGCTCAGGCTGTGATTCATTTAATCGACTTAAAAAAAAACAACCCATGTTTTATCAACGAAAAATTACATTAATTCAAGGCAAAAAGCCCTAATGCCATATAGCTTTTCTTCAAGTTACATTTTATCAGATTACAGAAGTAATTTGAAGTTTTGCCTGTTGGGGAACTGAAGTTTGGCTGGCACTTTTAGGTGAAGTTGTTGATGCTATTGCTCAAATATCAAATAACAAACTTCATGCACGTTAACAGAGGAAGTAGCATTGTTTGGGTGGGTTTTTTTACATCTGTAAATTTTATTTTCATAATCAGCTGAGAAACAATGGTCCAAGTGCATTCAGCAAGGTGATGATGACCCTGCAGTGGCCCTACAAGTACAAAAACAACACACTGCTCTACATTGTTCAGTATGAGATCGATGGTCCCATGAACTGCACTTCTGACATGGAAATCAATCCCTTGAAAATTAAGGTAAGCAGGACTTTTCTTTTTTTTTTTGAGTGGAATGAAGTATGTTTGGTTGGTTTGTAAGCCCTCAAAACAGCCAAATCCCTGAGAATATCTAACACTGACTTAGTTTTTTGTCTCTTATTGATGAATAAGGCAGCACTCTTTGATAGTACATGTCAATGTATACAGCT